TTGTGGCACAGGTTCACTCTCCCACGTCCAGGCACTCACATGAACAGGCCGGAAGACACACACATGCACGCACACCAGCTATACTCACACCCGGTCTGACACTCCAGGGCACACTGACACACACACACACAAAGATACCCAGACACACATGAATCTGCTGGCAGGCCCCGCAGTGGTGCGCACACACACACACACACACACACACAGAGTCACACACACATAGTCACACACACACAGTCACCCACAGAACCCACATACAACTACCCACTCGGGCAGACACAGCCACAGAGGCCCACATACGAGTGACTGAATCCCGACAGCCCTGAGCAGGACTCTCACACCCTCCTCCAGGTCCAGCCTCTGTTCTCCGGAAGACAGCAGAGCCCAGCGCAGCCATGTCCAGTCTTTGGTGCCAGCTGAAATGGCTTTCCAGGCAGCAGGAGGTCAGAAGGTTGAGCCCCAGCTGGGTTAGCCTTCCCTGCTGCAGGCCCCAGGATTGACATCTCTTAGGGTCACTTTAAGGAGGTGGGGAAGGGGGAGGAGGGCATAAGAGATGGGCAGGGGGAAGATGAGAAGGAGAGATCTCCGAGACTTGATGGGGCACAAGGCACCCTGGTGGCCTAATGAAGGTGTCAGGAGGGGAGAGAGGGAAGGAACAGAGTCTTCGTACTGAGCATCAGGGTCCCCGGCCCACCCAGGCCTGGACACTCAGGCCGAGTGCGGTGACTTGGCTGGCAGGACCCAGCCTGTTCTACCCATTCATTCTTCTGAGAAAAGGGCAATTCCTAAGTGGAATCCTTCTTTCTGCTCTTCCCCTGGGGGCCAGCCAGGGAAGCTGTCCACGGGAAGGATTTCAGGAGTCACAATCCCAGCCTGATGCAGCAGGATCCAGTGGCCAACTGGGTTTGTGGAGCAATTTCTGGACCAGTAACATTTCCCTCTTCCAATGGAATTCCTGAGCTGGCAGAGGAAACTGCATCCCAGAGTCAGCGGGGCAGACGTCCACACTCACTGAGGTTAAGGCATCTTTGCCCAGGCTGGAACTGGGGGGCCTGGGCCACTTCATGGGGAGAGGCCAGTAGCCCTTAAGACTCTGGTGACAAGAGGGCAGCCAAGCCCTCCATTGTAGGCTGGGTCCTCCCCAAGTGAGGGACAGAGATTCTGAGATTTGATCTCCCCCTGACTAAGAGGAGGGGTGGCGGGGCCCGTGGGGAGGTAAGAGCAACTTGAAGATGAACTCACCAAGGTAGGGGCTTCCACCCATCCTGGGCCCCGAATGCACTCCCACTTGCTCTGGCCTAAGTGTCAACCCCAGCATGGCCAAATCCTATCCTCCCAAAGGGAGCCAGACGCAGTCCTGGATGCAAAGCCCAGCTCCGTCACTCGGCCCGCAGGCACCTTGGGGGAGCTCTGGGCCTATGCCAACACTCGCTGGCCACCTCCACACCGCCTGCTAGACGAGAGACTCTTTGACCCCTGGCCTCACCGTCTGCCCTGGTGGCGGGGAGGAAGGCAGGGCGGCCTCTGAGGGGCTCACAGGAGTAGGCGGGGTGGTGTCTGAGGGGCTGACAGGCGTGAGCCCCGTGGTGGTGGGCCCCGTCTCCCCTGAGGGGCTCTTCTCCTCCCCCTGGCTCTGCGCAGCGCTGTTCCCGTTCTCGGGGCCGTACATCTTGCTCATGGTGCTGGCGATGAGCCCCTCCTTCTCAGGGGCCCCGTCCCCGCTGCCGTCCTGGCTGTGGCGGTACATGTAGGAGGCCTGCTTCACAGAGCGCTGCAGCAGGTGCCGGCGGTAGGCCCTCTGGATCTTGATGGCGCACACCTCCTCGTGCTTTCTCTTGAGGGTGGTGGTGATGGGCTCGTAGGAGACCTTGGAGGGGTTGGCCGCCATGAACTTCTCCTCCATGGTCTGCTTGAGAGCGTCCATTTCCCCAGAGTCGCCCAGCACCTCTTTGGTCAGGGCAAAGAGGATGTCCAGGCAGTGGATCTTGTCCCCCGGTACCATAGGCAGGTCCAGTGTGATGAGCTTGATCTTGTTGGGCTTGGCGATCCTCAGCGGCTCCTGCAAAGTGTCCACGAAGTCCGAGAGGCGGCTGTAGTCGATGAACTGCGTGGCATCGGGGTCAAACTTCTCCCAGGTCTCATAGAACATCTCAAAGTCATCCTCGCCGAGGGGCTCGCTGCTCTCCTCGGTGGCCACGTTGAAATTCTCCAGGATGATGGCGATGTACATGTTGACCACGATGAGGAAGGAGATGATGATGTAGCTGCAGAAGAAGCAGATGCCGATGGACGGGTTGCCACAGTCGCCCCTGACACTGGTGCCTGGGTTCTCAAGCGTGGGGTCGCAGTCCGGGGGTCCACTGTTGAGGATGGGGTTCAGAAGCCCGTCCCAGCCAGCCGATGTGGTGATCTCAAAGAGGCAGATGATGCTGTTGCCGAAGGTCTCGAAGTTGAACATGTCGTCAATGCCCGATTCCTTCTTGACGTAGGCAAAGTTGGACATGCCGAAGATGGAGTAGATGAACATGACCAGGAAGAGGAGGAGGCCGATGTTGAAGAGGGCAGGCAGCGACATCATGAGGGCGAAGAGCAGCGTCCGGATGCCCTTGGCTCCGCGGATCAGCCGCAGGACACGCCCGATCCGAGCCAGACGGATCACACGGAACAGCGTGGGTGACACGAAGTATTTCTGGATCAGGTCCGACAGTGCGAGGCCTGCAGGGAGGAGTGGAGGTGGGTCAGAGAGTGCGGGGCGTGTGGGGCTCAGGGGCCTGGCCTGGTGCACCCTGCCCCAGAGAGGGGCAGGTGGAGCCAACCCTCCCAGCACAGGCAGGACAACCTGAGCGGGCCAGGACAGCTGGAGGTAAGATGTGTTAAGGGTGACGGGCGAGGGTAAGGCCCATCTTAAGGCTGTTTGCAGATGCCACGGGTGGCAGTGGGGTGGGGAGGACAGCTCTGCGATCTGGGCATGCCACTTAACTTGCTGTGACTCAGCTGCCTCCTCTGTAAACCGGGGGTAATAGCCCGACCACCTGTGGCATTGCTGTGAATGATTGAGACGCGGCCTGTAAAGCGCATGGCAGAGCCAGGCTTGCAGGAAGCGCTAAGCGGTGGCTTGTACTGTCACGGTTAGGCACATTCCGTGCTCTTCTCCGTGTGAGCAGGTCCTGGAATCACCTTACGTTTTCCACCCCGTATGTGGACAGCTGAGCACAGGTACGTCAGGTCAACGTGTTTCTTGAGTTGTATTCATGTGTGCACAGGTGACAGGCTGCCTATGAGCGTGAGCGTTGAGAATGAATGGCAGGTGCACGCACGTGTGTGTGTGTGTGTGTGTGTGTGGTGCTGGGGACTGAACCCAGGGTACCACACCACCGAGCTTCATCCCCAGCCCTTGTTGTTTTTTGAGACAAGTCTTGCAAAGTTGCCCAGGCTGCCTTCAAACTTGGAATCCTCCTGCCTCAGGCTCCCAGTGCTGGGATTACAGGCATGTGCCCCTGCACCGGCCACATGTGTGCTTGCGTGGGTTTGTGTGAGTGTGCCAGGTGCACGAGGAAGGCTTTCATCTCAGTGCTGTGCCCCAGCTCACCCACAATGGACAGGATGACCACCACGAAGTCGAAGATGTTCCAGCCGACGGTGAAGTAGTACTGGCGCAGGGCGAACATCTTGAGCACGCACTCCCCCGTGAAGATGATGATGAAGACCATGTTGATGTTGTACAGGATGTCCACCTTGAGCTGGCTCTGGTCGTCCGTCTCCACCATCATGGTGACCATGTTGAGGCAGATGAGGATCATGATGGTGATGTCGAACACCTGCTTCGTCACGAAGTCATACACCATGCCCTGGATCTTGTTCTGCAGCACAAAGGGGTGTGTCGGCATGCATGTGTGTGGGCGTGGGGTGGCAGGGCACAGGCAGGGTCAGGACAGGATGGGGACATTCAGGAGACACAGGATGGTACGATGGCACCACACAGAGGACACACAGAAAGGAGGGGTCAGGGCCGATGGTGGAGTCTGCCACAGGAGGGAAAGGCCGTGACCACGCCATCCTGGAGCATCACTCTGGGATCCTTCCTCCTTTCAAAGTCCCCCTCATTCTTCTCCCAAAGCCATTGCTCACTGGGGCGGGTGTCTGGACATCCTCTTTCTCTCCCTTGTCAGGGTCTCTGCACAGGGGCTACTGAGGGTCCCAGGTGAGGAGGTGGATGGCTGGGGTCCCGTGCAGGACCGGATAAGGGGTAAACTGGTAACTGGAGTCTAGTGGCAACTGCTGTGTGTGCATACGGTGTCTCTGTGCACTATGACTCCCAGCAGGTGGGCTCACTTCACCCAGGGACATAGCCCGACAGGCAGAGAGCAGGCTGCATTTGGCCCCCAGAGACCCCCTGGGGCAGGAGCCTGGTACAAGCCACAGGAGGAGGGGTCCAGAGGGTTGGTACCTGGGGCCGGGGAATTGGCTTCTGGGGCTTCTTGGAGCCAAGCTTTTTCATGGCGTTATAGTACTTCTTCTGTTCCTCTGTCATGAAGATGTCTTTCCCTCCAAAGTATAGTGGAATAGGGCACATAAGGTTGGGCTGGAGCCCCCTCCCTGCCTTCAGGACTCCCCCCACCTGCATCAGGCACCACCATTAAGGCAGACCCTGTTCCTGCAGAGGCCTCTGTGGGGAGGGGGAGGGGTTTGGGAAGGGCCAGAGATGGAGGGATGGGGCGGAGGGAAGAGGACCCAAGTTGCCTTGAAGCCTAGGTTGGGTCAATTTCCCGGTTGTATCCACCTCATTTTATAGACCAGGGAATCAAGGTTGAAGGGGCCGCGTCACTGTTCAGGGCCCCTGGAGGGATTTGGAATCAGGCTTACTGCCCCAATGCAGCACAGGGCCTGCTCAGGCAGCGCTGGTGACCACAGGAAGGGATGAGTGGACACGGAGGGGAGGTGGGAGCCCGGGAGTCTGGGGCGGGCCAGGGGAGGTGGGCAAGATACTCATCTTCTTTTTCTGCTGGTTGAAGTTGTCGATGATGACGCCGATGAAGAGGTTAAGCGTGAAGAAGGACCCGAAGATGATGAAGATGACGAAGTAGAGGTACATGTAGAGGTTCACCTCGTACTGAGGCTGCTCCTCCTTCTGCAGGGGCCACGGGACAGGACAGAGTGGAGTGCATGCCTGGGGTTCTCCCCGCTCCCTAAAGCACTATGAGCAGGGGTCACCCAACCCCAGGCGGCAGGGGCTCCCGAGGAGATAGAATGGAAGGGAGGGATGGCAGAACATGTCCCTGGGCCATCGTCTGCCCTGGCTTGCTCACCAGTCACATCTCCGAGAGCTGACTCACCTCCCGGGAGTCCACAGCTGCATACATGATGTCCATCCAACCCTTGAAGGTGGCCTGGGGAGGTGGGGTGCTGTGTGAGGGGTGGGGGCTTCACCCAAGGGTTTCCCTCCCCTTCCAGCCTGGCTCTGGAGGCCACCTGCCACAGCCCCATGGGGCAGGCATCAGAGATCAGAGAGATCTGGACACTACTTTGTGGTCCCACAGCATTGGAAACAAGGTGGGAAGTTCCCTTACAAGGGGTGACAGCAGATTTAGGTGCAGAGACTTGTGGGCACTTCTGTGCCAGTTCAGGTCCAGTGGCAGTAAGTGACACTCACCACCTGCAGGAGGGAGAGGTAGCCCAGACCCACGTTGTCGTAGTTGACCTTGACATTGAGCCAGCGAACCTGGCCCGTGTGCATGAGGCTTTCGCATTCAGACTTGTTGTTGACCTCGGAGATGTCGAACCTCTCTGAGGTGGTGGTGTTGATGCAGTAGTAGAACTTTCCAGCAAACAAGTTGACACCCATGATGCTAAAGATGAGCCAGAAGATGAGGCAGACAAGCAGCACGTTCATGATGGAGGGGATGGCGCCCAGGAGGGCGTTCACCACCACCTGGGGGCAGAGTCGGGGGTCACTGCCAGAGCCTCTCCCAGGCCTCCGAGAGAAGGCCCCCCCACTGCACCCCAACAGAGGACCAGGCTGAGCTGGGCCTTGTCATTTAGGGAGGGCTGATTTGAGCCAGGCCTGGGGGGAAGCTGTCTGATGGGTGTCTGTGGGGGTGGAGTGAGGGTAGTAGGCTTGGGGAGCCGCCAGATGGGGGGTTGGGGAGGCCACTCTGCTTGGCTGCAGCTGCCAAGAAACCACTGGGCTTCTCTGGAAGCAGTCTTGTCACGGGTCACCAGGCAGGAGACAAACACTTTCCTCGGCCCCCATAGGAAACTCAGCCACGTGACCTGGCCCTGCTCGCAGCTCAGTTAGTGATACTACACAGAAAGGCCCAGAAGAGAGAAGGCCCGGGGCTTTGAAGCAGCAGGACCCCAGGGCTGGACCTCCGTTCCTTATATCCCTGGTCACACAGGTCCACCAAACTGTTTGGTGGTCTGACCTGAGAACCGTCCCTTTCAAGAAGGAGCCATTTCATGTCCTCCAGACAGAGGGGATGGCAGAAGCCTGGTGTGCTGCCCGGGAGAGCTCTGCTCTTGGTTGAAGCACCACCCAGCTGTGTGGCCATCGAGAAGTGATATCCCTCAGTGGGGAAGAGTCCTTGGTCTTGGGGTGGGAGGGCCTGGCATCGGGCTGGCCTCTTGAATGAGCCCGGAACCCACCAATTCCGAGGGGTCCTTGTGGAGCAGGTCTTTCTGGTGGCAGTCCTTCTTGGCGGGGAAGTCCCATTTGCCTTGCCTAGACCCTGTGTTTACCTGCCACTTCCGGCTGTCAAGGGCCTGAGGGGATCTTCTCTAAAATGACCCTAAACTAGAGCTCAAGGGCAGGTAGCTCAGGGCCAGGGAGCCAACACCTTCACACTTGCTTATGTTTCATGGCCCTTGGGGGCCCAGGCTGAGGTCAGGGAAGGACACCCAGAAACCCACAGGCCTTCCTTCCTCTTCTCCCTGCTCAGCCTTCCTGGGTGCTGCCCCCTAGTGGTGGTGCACACCAGCTGAGGGGGCTGAGAGTGGGGACCAGGCAGGCACAGGTGTCTCAGGGCCCCACTCCCAGTCGTCAGCACTTTGAGCCCTCTGCCTGCTCCTGGTGGTGGCTGGGGTACAGACACACGCCCTCCACCCTTCCCGCAGGTGGCTGCTCCCCCATCCTGAGCCCTTTGTACCCACCCTCATGCCCTCGAATCGGGACAGTGCCCTCAGGGGACGCAGGGCCCGCAGCGTGCGCAGGGATTTGATGGGACCCAGCTCTGAGTAGCCCAGCCAGTTGGCCACCAGACTGATGATGGAGACCTGCAAAGGAAGAATGGGTGGTCAGTGAGTGCAGGTCGCCCTAAGCCCAGGGACACAGCCCCTGGGTACAAGCCCTTCAGGGTGGGAGGGTCTTCCTGAGCTCACTGTTCCTGGTTGTCTCCCTCTAGTCCCTTCCCTAGTGGGAGCAGCAGTCCAGGGACCTGTCCCAGCATCCCTAGAGCCTGGGCTCCAGCCCAATGATGCCACCAATTAACTGGGGATGACAGTAAACAGGAAGGACGGTACCTGCCTCCTTCACGGACCTGTGTGCCCATTAAAGAGGATATGGAAATCCTCCACACATATTGGCAGACCCCCAGCCTGAGGACAGAGATGGCCTTTTGTTCCCCAGCCTGGTCAGCTGTGTCTTTGTGAGGAGCAGGGCTGACTGGAGCTTGGACTTCCCATGCAAGGGCCCCCTAAAGTCCTCGGCCAGGACAGCCTCCAGAGCTGGCTGTGGGTCCAAGGCAGGGCAGACTCACATCCACGATGAGGAAGTCGAGCCAGCACCAGGCGTTGGTGAAGTACACCTTGAAGCCGTAGGCCACCCACTTGAGCAGCATCTCCAGGATGAAGATGTAGGTGAAGACCTTGTCAGCATATTCCAGGATGGTGCGGATGACCCGCCGCTGCTCGATGTAGATGTCCTCGAAGGCCTGAGGGGCACCAGCATGACCTGTGGGTGGCCAGGGGCCCAGAGGCTGGGGCAGCAGCCACATCCCCTACCCTGCCTGAAGCCGCTGGTTCCCAGGGGTCTGCCATGGGAGCCAGATGGGCAGCTGTGGACATCTCCCAGCCCTGTCTCCATCATGGGGAGGGGTAGGCTTCCCGGCGGGGAGGAGTCTCTTGGTTGTCAATCATCTGCCAGAGGGTTTCACAGTGACATAGGTTCAGTTTTGCCCCCATGTTCCCGGGGCCCACCTGCCTCCTCTTTGGCCGGGAGAGCATACAAGTCAGAACCCACAGAACAAGGGGGCCTGTCTGTCACTTTAAGAAGCTGACCCATTCTAGAACCTATTCTGGAGGTCGAGGTGAGGCGCTTTAGGATTCTTTGGATTCAGGACTGTCTAGGCCCCATCCATTCCTGGAATGGAGTGAGAGCGCCCTAGGGGGACCTGCTTGGGACTTGGCACCTGCCTCTGCCTGTGCCCCATCCCCTGGGGGGTGCTTACCAGGGCCCCACTGCTGAGCAGGATCATGAAGACAATGAAGGTCTCGAACCAGTTGTGCTCAACAATCTTGAAGCAAGCCCTGCGGAGGGTCCACCACATCTTCCCGCGGCCCTGGGAGATGTCCACATAGAGGCAGGGGCAGCGCTGCACACAGGCTGGGGGACAGGGACAGGGCACCGCGTCATAAGCCTAGGGCCGCCTCAGGGTGCCTCTCCCCCGCCTCCACCTCACTGTCCCCAGACCCAGGGTTCCATCTGGCTCATGTGGGGGGCTTAGGTCTTCCCTTCACAACCCGTTCCACCATGTATCAACTGCCGCCAGGGATGCACACGCAGAGGGAGGATGCTCTGCAAACAGGGCTCAGGCCACCTACTGTCCCCGTCCTCCCCCAACCTTGCCCAAGCAGGCTTCAGACCATCCAGCCCAGGACCTTTGAACAAAAATGTTTCTCCAGGGCTGTCTCCTGAGGCCCGTGGCTCCAGGGTCAGCTCCCCAGAGTGAGGCAGGGGAGGGCAGCACTGGCGAAGAGGGCCGCTTGCTTTCCTACGGCCTCCTCTGGCTCTGGTGTGGCCTGCCCCTTACAGGGACGCTGGGCTGGGGGAGGCGCCCAGGCCAGGTGAGGGTGCTGGCTGTGGGTGTATCCTCACCCTCCGTGAAGCACTCCTCAGGCTGCTCCCCCTCGGGGTCCTCCTCAGCCTGCTCCTCGGGGTCCTCTTCGGGGGGCTTGTAGTCAGCCGTGCTGCAGACGGAGGAGTTCCCATCGTAGAGGGGCTGCGGCGGCTTCTGCAGGGGCCACAGGGGCTCATGACCCCTGGGTCCTGAGAGACCCCCTCATCCTCCCACCAGGCGGGGCAGGCCAGACCTGTCCACCCCCATCTGTCCACTCAGCCCTGGTTACTGAACAGACAGTGCGGAGGTGGCCTTGGTCCTGCCTGTGTGCCACATGAGGGCTGGGAGGGGGAAGGGGGGCATGAAGAGACAGGTAAGGGTCTCGGGTAAGGGAAGAACCTGGGACAGAGCTGGGGAGGAGGGTGGCTGCGTGGGGCTCAGGCTGCTGGGTGATCTGGGAGGTGTTGGGGGCACGAGGGGCCTGGAAGAGGAGAAAAGGCCTGTAGGTCCTTTTGCGAGGGCAGGAGTAAGAAAAGCGGTCAGGATGGAGCTGGACCTTCACAGGCCGCAGAGAACAGGCATGTGGTGCCCCCAGTGTCCGAGACCTCCCACCCCCAGGGTCTGTTTGGCTGAGGGATCCAGGAAGGATGGAAAACTTTCCCCAGCCAAGGCCCCAGTCTGGGGCCAAGGGAACCTGATCGGAGTGGGGGTGGGGCGGGGGCTGGTGCTCCGGCCTGGCCAGGCCTCCTCCCACCTCCTCCTGGTGCTGTCCCAGGCCCGCTTCCCAGTCCTGCCCTGACTCTGCAAGGAGACCCTTCATGGCTGGGCGTGAGGCCCCTGAGGAGGAAGACCAATTGGGCAGCTTGGTGGAGGACAGTGACCAGAAAACCCCAGATGGTGGTTCTTGTTCCCAGCCGGCAGAAAAGGAAACTGAGGCACAGAGGACTAGGCCTGTGCACCCACAGAGCTGCCGGCCCTGCCCAGCTTCCACAATCCCCCTGGGAACCATGTCTGTCCCCCTTTAAAGAGTCCTCAGGCCCCCTCCCCTCCCAGAGCCTTGGACCCAGCCCTCTCCAGCCCCTCCCCCACCTAGTTCCTCCTACCGAGGTTGAGGTCGGTGCCACATTTCCCAGGGTATTTATAGCTCGGCAGGCACTCGGCCCCCTGGTAAGTCAGCGTGCCACATATTTGGGGTGAATAAGGAGTCAAGAGCTTTCAGGGCAAAGTTCGCTAGGCTCCCGTCTCCAGCCAGCCAGGGCTGGTGGTGTGGGGTGGGGTGGGCAGGGCCTGGCCTCACTCCTGGGTCAGTCTTTTCCCTGCCATGGCTGGAGAACAGGTGAGGGTGGCTCAGAGTCACCTCCCCTGGAAGGTCCAAGGCAGGGTCCCAGCCTCCACGGCAGCCTCTGGGAGACCACCACCTCGCTCTGGTCCCTTCCCACCCTCACCAGAGAGAGACAGGACTAGGGGGCAACTTGGCCCAGCAGCAAGGGCCCTGCCTGGACCGGCGGGTGGAGTGTCAGGGCTCCTGCCCTGAGGCTGTGTGATAGCTCTCTGCTGTCCTCATCCCCAACTCCCCTTGACCCTCTGGCTCCTCTGCTCAGAGACCTTGACCTGGATCTGGCACCTTGGCCAGATGGAAGGTTGGATCCAACCTTAGGTAGGGTCTAAGAAGAAATAGATGATTGTATCAAGCACTTGGCAGGGGCTTTAAGCCCATGGGGGTATTTAGGAGAGGCTTTTTTGGCCCCAGTCCTGGAACTAAGGTGCCAAAGGTAAGAGCATCCTGTCCAGGAGCGCCACCTGCTGGTGCGAGGGCCCAGGTAGCGTTTTGCCTGGCCTATCATCATAGTCACATCAATGAGGATAAAACAGTCACCATTTACACAGCGCTTTCTAAGTGCTCTGAGCATAGCATGTCATGGGATGCTTACAACCAGCCATGGTCTGGGAACCATCACCCCCATTTTACAGATGGAGCAACTGAGGACTGAAGAGGACTTGTGATTTGGTCCACGACCCCGCCAGCAGGGCCCTGGATGGGCTCACCTTGACATCCTCAGGCTCTGAGAAGGTGTCGGTCTCCTCCTCGGTGGGCATCTCCAGGTCAGACTCCTCGGAGGCGATGGGCACCTGGATGGTCAAGTAGGGGTTGTTGATGAAGTTGAGGTGGTCCAGCTCGATGCTGGAGGGAGGGCCGTCCACCAGGCCCATGTGGTTCAGGATGTGATTGTCCTTCTTCAGGTCCTTGTCCCCCTCCTCGGGTGGTGGCTCCTTCTTCTCATCCTTGGGGGCACCTTCCCCGGCCTCGCCAGCCTCCTCAGCGCCTCCAAGCTCCCCGATGCTGAGAATGATCTCCTTGGGGCTCAGGATCTTGCCGTGCAGCAGCCCCAGGAGGAAGGTCTTGGCGAAGCTGATGCCCCACTTGATCCGCGCGATGGCGATCTGCAGGTTGTTCATCTCGCCGTCTTCGTCTGAGGCCGCCAGGCTGTCGGCACTGAAGGAGCTCAGCAGGAGGGCCAGGAACAGGTTCAGAACCTGGGAGACAGGCGTTGGGGGAGCCTCAGGCCAGCCTGCGAGTCCCTGGGGGCTCCACCTTCAGCCACCAAGGGGGGCTCCTATCTACAGGTCAGACCAGCCACACACTGGGCATTTGGAAGGACGTCACCTAATGGAATCTCACAGAGGCTCCTGGAGGGGAGGGCTGCCAAGATCATCCCCATCTTGCAGATATGGAAACTGAGGCTCGTGCCTGTGAGAGGACTCTGCTGCCATGGCAGGTTTGGAGAGGTACACTGGGGGACAGGGACTCTGCACGGGTCTGTCCTCTACCTCTACTGTCAGGGGCTGGAGAACAAAGGACAGGGCTCAAGTCTCACGTTTCTAGGGAACAATTCTGGAGCCTTCTTTTCCTCATCTGTTAAGTGGGACTTTTAACAGACACTGGGTTCTGTCCCCTGTTGCTCTGGAAAGAACATTTGGCCTGCTACTTACTCCTTCCCCCCCTTGGGGCTCCCTACCACACCTATTCCTATTTCCCTTCCTCCTTTCCTATTGATGGGGACCTAGAGGCTACTACTACTGGCCACCTCTTGTCCTCTCCCCACATTTTATTTTCTAGCGGACAATTACTGAACCCCTGCCACTGCTGGTGAGCAAGTGGCCTCAGAGAGCCCAAAGCCTAGTGGAGACGGACGTCTGACTAGAAAAATACAGGGTGGGTTTGGTGGCAATAGAGACTGGTGTGCACAGGCTTTGAAATGATGCTGAATCCCAGTTTACTAGCTGTGTGTCCTAAGGCAAGCTGCTTCACTGCTCTGTGCCTGTTTACTTATCTGTGTACTTATTACTATGATTTCAGTAATCCTCACAATGCTCTGATGATTAAAAGATCAATACAAGTAAGTGCTCAAAACATATTGGTTGTTATTATATGAGCAATAATAGAAAGCTCTACACGGTATAGGGAAGAACATGATTAATTTGGCCAGTTCAGCGTTTTACAGATGAGGAAACAGAGTCCCAGAGGTAGAGTGGTTTGCCCTAGGACACACAGCAAAGTCTTGACTAACACCCAGGTTTCCAGTCACAATTTTAGAGAGCACCATTTGCTTAGACTACAATGTGAATGATATCCCCAGAAGTTTGCAAAGCAATGACCTTGCCTCCCCCCACAAACACCCCTGGTGCCTGGGCAGTGGAGGAAGGTGACACTGGCTGGGGTGGGAGGTCCTGGCTGTTGTCCACCAGAGGCAGAGCCAGGTTCTTACTGTCTGGGGCCTGGGGCTTGTCACTGTGTGAGTGGATAAGAGGGAATCTATGCCCTTGACCGTCTTCCCTGCGTGCCTCGCTGTCTGGCTTGACCAACGTCCTCCAAGGGTTTTCAGGATTGTCTTAACTACCATGTCAGCACAGTATCTTTAAACAATACATTAAAATCCCCTTTGAAAGAGTGTGCTGGGGGGATTTCCACCCTGTGCCACGTCCTCCCGCTCCCTCTCCTCTCTGCCTGAGCCCACCACCCACATTTATTGGTCCTTTTCTCCCCGTCTCAGGGGGAGGCGTCCAGTTGCCAGAAACACATCTGAGATGGGAATTAGCTGCTCTCTGGGTCAGCAGGGTTTGCACACGGCTCCTGCCTGGGACAGAAATAGCCTCCTCGGGCAAGGGGGAGGGGAGAGGGGAGGGGGACAGAGGTCATGTTCCCCGGGGGGCTCTGTGGGGTGGGTTATCTGTGACCTAGTCACTTCCTCTTCTTCACAGTAACCCAAGGGAAGTGACCAAGTGTCAGGGATGCAAGGGGCACGGGTCCCCACAGTCCCTGGCAGGGTGCCCTGGCACCCTCTGGTAGACACCTGCTTCTCTGAGGCATGGGGCTGTGGTAGGAGGGGACAGTGCCCAAGGAGCTGACCGTGCCGCCTCCTGGGCAGCTTCACTCCCTCTGAGCAATCTGGGAGAGCCATAGAGCTGGGCTAAAAAAGAGAGAGAGTAGGAGAGATGGGGAGAGAGACGGGGTGACAGTCTCCGGAGGGGACGGTGCAGTGGCTGTAGGCCCTAGAGCCAGACTACTTGGGCTCAAACCCTGTACTTCTCACTAATCACCTTCCTGAGCCTTCGCCTCCTCCTCTATGTAACAGATAAAGCCGTCCGTCCTCCATAGGAGGCCATGAGTATAGGCGAGTGGACAGCTCTGGGCGCTACCACTGAGCATGCTCAGAGTGCCGGCTAGGGCTGAGCAAGTGCCACCGTCCTCAGCGTCACAGCTGGTATCATGGTCATCATTATCACTATTGCTGCTCTTATTGCAGGTTCTTGTCCTAATTCAGTTTCTTTTTTCTCTCTTACTTTCTTTGTTTTTTGGTACTGGGGATTGAACCCAGGGGCACTTTAACACTGAGCTACGTCTCAGCCCTTTATATATATATATATATATATATATATATATATATA